GGTCATGGTTGTTGATTTAACTCATCTCTATGTATAAAATGTCCTGTTTGCATTCCCTCCACGTCTGTACTTCATGTGACACATTCACTAAGGATAAGCAGAGTCTGTGCTTTATTTCTTAGGGTTAGAGTCAGCACATATAACTGTTGAGCCTGCTGAACAACAGCAAAATGTTCCTCACTGCATCCTGCCTAGAATATCATTCATCTAATCATCCTTTGAGATTTCGGTCTCATGTTGCATTTCAGCTTTTTTTAAACAACTACATGCTTGGCAGCAACATGACCCTCCTGTATTTGGACCCTAAATGCTCCAAACTTGCTCAAAATTCACAACACAGCCTCAATAATTCTTAAGCAAAACATGAGGAGGAATAAATAGGCATGGGGGGAAAAATCCAAAACAACCCACATCACTGAGCTGCAGACGCACACTGGGACTAATATCATCACAGGGGCTGCGTGTTTGGCACAATATAGTGGGTCACTGGGGTGGAAATGTTACATTTTACAAATTGCAGACATGACACATTCACATGGACTTAAATGGCCTCCGCAAATATTTCAGATTACTAGATGTCCCTAGGTAATACTATTCCCATGCAATTACAGTAAAATCGCTGATCAGGATTGACATTGACATGTCACTAAGGTAAAAATCCAGACTTTCAGCCATAGATGGTCTTTGTAAACAGCTTTGTTTCAATGCCCAATTTCTTTCATTGGTAGAAAGAGCAATTCATTTGTTGTTGCCTGTTAGCGTGGTTGAAAAGGGTTTTTTGTGTCCTTCTGCATTTCCGTCTGTTTAAAAAGAATATTCTTCTGCCCTACATTTGACATCGTTTACTGGAATCATGAATCAGCTACAAATAGCAGAACTACTTCACTCTCTGTAAAGCTAGGAACTGCCTGCTCTCTGAAAACATCTTTGAATGTTTTTTCTAATTTTAGCTGTCTCACAGCGTGTGAAAATGATGCTTTTAATGCAGAGCCACTGTTTTGGTTATTGCATCCTGTGCATTGTCTCAATTGAGATTTTTATTAACTCAATGTGTTTGTTATTCCCAGGAACAACGATAGTTAATGTTACAGAGGGGACCAGCGTCACTCTGAACTGTACTCATCATGTTGGACGATCAGGTGTTCCAATGTGGAGCAGACAAATCGCTGGAAAACAACAACAAATCAGGCCTCAAGTTTCCCCTNGACGGATCGAGAAGCGGCATGCAGCAGAAACAGATCGTGTTCGCTGATCTTCCATCACACAGAACCGACAGCGCTAAAGATTCAAGTAAATCCATCCATCCATCTTCTCCCACTTGTCCGGAGTGGGGTCGCGGGGGCAGCAGTCCTAGCAGAGCCATCCAGACTTCCCGATCCGCACACACCTCCTCCAGCTCTTCCAGGGGGACCCCCAGGCGTTCCCAGGCCAGTCGAGAGACATAATCTCTCCAACGTGTCCTGGGTCTTCCCCGAGGCCTCCTCCCGGATTCAACTAAACCAGCTTCAGTCATTGTGCTTCCAGCAGCATCAATGTGATAATACAGATAAATACAGATAATATTTAACCACTGCTACCAGCTCGACCACTAATACTGCTGTAATTATTCTGCAATGCTGAGTCCATTTCTGGTTTTGTAAATCAGTAAAACTCATTTTGATTTCACTAGGTCATGTGAAAGGCTCTTAAGTTGACATTTCTAATTATCATTGTTATGACTGATATATTTAAATGCACAAAAATAAACAGTCAGAACCCCAAAACCTGCCAGAAAATTTAAAAGGCCTGTTGTCTTTTTCCCTTCCTTTCTTTTTTTTTTTTTTTAAATCACCATAATTACATCATTTGTCATTCAGAAACTGTACATGTGAAAGATTTTCAATGTGTGACATTGTTTGAAGTTGATCATAATGTTTTATATGTCAAAAAATTAAGTGAAAATTAAATGAATCATCACACAATTTAGGACAGCTTTTCACATATAGGTGGTGCTAAAGCTACATTTAAATGGCTTGACTCTTTCTCACCTGCAATGTTCCAACTCTAGTTTCACCTAATGAACATTTTAAAATGTATTCTGGTGCCGGTGCTGTTGTTTCCCTTTACAGAATGACACACCT